AAAAAGGAGCATATGCAGTCAGTCTGACGAGATCACCTATGGGTCATAGTCACCCACCAAAGATGTGCGCCAAGGGCTGAGATGGTCGCTCTTTGGGCGTGTGCCCTAGAAGCACACTGGTCATTGTAGCTATTCAGAGAGTGGCCATGTGCCACGGCCCCCGACATGAACAGTCACTGCTTACCCTGCCTTGCGTCCTGGACTTGTTTTTTATTTAAATTAGGGTTTATCCCAGTGGCTGGCAGGCTAGGGAATGCAGATGCCCAGTGACACACGCAGATTAATATCATGGCAACTGTAAAAACCCGCAACGATACCCACCCTCCCGCCCACTAGTTGCTGAGATTTTACCGTGTGGAAGGCAGTATGCCACCAGATGCCCTCAAATCTCCCATCTTTACAAATCCCCACCTCACTAAACAAGACGGGGGAACCTGATGCTCCCAGATTGTTGTGTCGTTAAATATCTGACCAGACGGCGTTACAGTGGGCGTCCTTCGCCCGGCCCCACGTCGTCTAGTCCCGTCTCCCTCTGCACACTGCTGTGATGACCAGCTCCACGCGCACCTCAACCTGCCTCGTTCAGGAAGGTGGGATCAGACGGGGCCTGTCCTCTGTGCTCCCACACTTCCCGCCTTCTGACAGAGGCCTGCTCAGCACTCGAGCACGCACGATCCGCACATGTGCGGGAGTTAACGCCAACAGGGCCTTGAGCAGGAGCAGAAGCTGAAGGGTACACATTCCTCTGACTTCCTTCGCTGGGTGGACGGCTCGCAGATTATCCCATGAGACGCCCTACACTGTCCAGTGGAATGCAGTGCCAGTCAGCCAGCGATGGCCGATTCATAAATAAGTCCTATTAGTTAGTAAGAAGCTTCTGCTCCTTCCACTCCCGTCCCAGAGTAATCCTGAACGTAAGCCTGTCTTCGGTTCTGCTTTAGGAGAACCCGGGCTACGACGGCGCCTTCGTCACGGGCTGCCCCTGACTCAAAGTGTAGGTAAAAGACAAACACAGCAAAAGTAAGAGGCAGAGTGTCCTGCTCCTTTTTCTGCTTTTTCATTCATCTGAACTTGGTACTTGAGATCAGTAATTTGTCAGATGAGAGACCAGGTAACATGATCCAACAAGTGAAGAGTTAGAAAGAAAACGTGAGATAGTGAATCATACACACTACTCATTATATACCTAAAGAAACGGGTTCAGAACCGTGGAGGGACTGGCCTGAACGGGGACTGCCGCCAGGCTGCCCAGGTCCCAGCAGCGTGACCTCGAGGACCGCAAACACTTATGAACAAAAGTCAAATGCTTGCTCTGTGCCACGCAGGCAGGGCACAGTGGACCTCTGCTAAGTGACTATTCCCCACGGATCACCTCTGAGGGTGGAATTTACTCTCCACACGTTACAGATGAAGACTACAAAGCTCAAAATTTAGTCACTTGCCTGAGGCCACTCGACCAGGAAGGGGTAGGGCTGGACCTGAACCCAGAGCCCGTGCTCCTCACTGCTTTGCTACACTGCCCCAAATCTACGCGTGCTGTCACAGGCGAACCAGGGTAATTTTTACAGCCAGGAGATGGGGCTGGATGCAAACATTAAGACTGAGGCAGATGGCGCCTGTGCCTTCACGAGCTCGCCCCAGGGGCCTCGTCTTAGCTCTCCCTCAGCATGACTGGCAGTCACGCCTCTGACACGTCAGTGTACGTGAGGGCAGATCCACTAGGCAACCTGATTTTCACTAAAACTTTCCATTTTTAACTCGAGCAAGATATTAAATTTAATAAAGGTAACTAATAGCTATTATAAAAATGTACTTATACAGAAGTATTTTGATTTTGTTTTATTGCTTACATATGAATTAACTGCACAGTGAATTTTTACATTTCAAAAAGCTCATTTCATTACATTTATTACATATATCGGCATGAATTAGATACGTTAGTTCCATTTTCAGACAGAAGAAGAGAAATATTTTGAGGAGGAGAAGTTAATTGCTGGTAAAGTGCAGTATTATTCCAAAAGATAATGAATAGAAAAGCATTAAGGAAGTGTGTGAGTGTGTGAGTGTGCGAGTGTGTGTGTTCAGGTGAACTCCCTCAACAATTAAACCCTATATAAGCAGTCAAGGACAACGCAAGTATAGGAGGAATATTTAAATGTTAACTATTCAATGTCAAGAAAAAAAGTGATATAAGCAACTACATACAGCAAAAAGAGAGTGATTAACGGTTTATTACAAGTTTTAAATATCTACAAAAATATAGCAATACAGTGTGAGCTTCGACATATCCTAAACTCTCCGTCTGCCAACTGGCTATAGCACAGCACACCTACCACTTGCAGGCTCCGGGGAGGGACAAGCCAAAGGAAAGAGCCTTTCCTTGGGCATCGCTTTTAACAAGGCCACATTAGTAACCTAGAATATACAGAAGTCTACTGTGCCTTAAACACAGCAACAAGGAAAACCTCACAAAACCCAAATCAACAGTTTACAAACAGACCAATAAAAAAGGTGTGATAAACATTAACTGAAATGATTTCCCTTTACATGCAATACATGCATTTATAAATCAGAGAAAAACATGAAATTTTATAGAGCAAAGTTTGTTCCACATGAGTGCAAACAAATATATATCTTTTCTTATTCTATTAAATTAGATATTTTTTCATACAAAAGCACACAGTGTTAATCTATAAAACGACATCCAAGTGGATGATGATTGTTTTTGCATGTCCCCCTGTTTTTTTTAAACGCAGTCAAAAATTAATATCCTTTAAAAATAGATAAAAAAAAAAAGGAAAATAAAAATCATAAACATTAGCCTATTAAATGGTGAAACATTTTAGCTGATCACGAGACAAAGTTACAGTGACAGCTGCAACAGGGCCATCTGACCCCAGGGGCGACTGCACCATGACTCTGAAAACAAGGTCTTCGTCATCTACATTTAACAAAGCGCTCGGGATGTTTGAGTATCATTTCATAGGTTTAAGTAACTAAGATCTTTTGCAAGATGTTTCAAGATGCTGTACTTTGGTTCAAATACTCAAAAAATGTCTAGTATGCTTCCTTACTTTTTTGTTTCTACTACAGGTGCCCAACTAACCAGAAACAGAAAGCTATTAATATGCCTTTCTTTTCTGCAATTTTTTAAACAAAAACTAAAGCTAAGAACTGAATTGTTTTTTGAGCTACAATTTTTGATATGTACATTTTTTCGGTAAAAAAAAATAAAATCTGGAAAGGTAAAATGATAAACAGGTTATTTTATAAAAACACCCAAGAGAATAAGAGCTGCAAAGAAAGCTGCTCGTTTTGCCATATGACGGGATTCACCAAGTTGTATATGATTTTAAGAAAACACTACGGGTCTGTCGGCACGTGTAGAGTGTCGGTACGTGTAATCTTGGTGGCTTGAATCAACAGACACTTACAGTAACAATCTTTAGCACACCTGATCGCTAAACCACAGGCACCCTTTTCGAACGTTATATAAGAAATCCTAAACAGAGATGCATACAAGTGACAGTTCAAATTTTACAAATAAAAATTCCATTTTTGTAATTTTCTGACTATGAAGATTTAAAAAGATGCACAACATAGAATGGCAAACTAATGTGCTTTTAATAAAAATCAAAATGTAAACTCTTCACAGGTGAACTAGTAGCTGTTTTAAATTTTTTTTTTCTATACTAAATATATAGTCATTTAATTAATGGAGCCACAGCAAAATACTACTAATATTTCAAAGCAAAGTCTGTAAACTAATACATCTTACGATGTAAAAAATATTGCACAGTTCAGTATTCCAAGAGTAAGCTCTAAGCCTCTCAAGTAGAATTGTTAAACTCTTGGCAGAAAATACAGTATTACAAGAACTAGACACTTTACAGTATGGCGATTTTAGGGTCATATTCTAGGAATATTATTCTGTAAATGTCATACCATAAACAAGCGGAGGAATGTCTATCACATATTATCACGGTAAACAAATCGAGGGATGCCTTTCGCAGCATCTAAAACATAGGGACAAAAAGCCACAGAGCAGTTTTGCAGTCCCAGGATTAGAATACACGTGTATGTTTTTGCTTTTGCAGACAACCAAATACAAAAGCAATTCTACTTCTGAGCAGTTGTGTAGATAGATGTTTAAGAAATACATTAGACATTTCATACATCTTCAATCCTTGGAAGGCTTAATTTTTTTTAAAAAATCACATAATTGTGAGAAGTTTAAAATACACTGTTTAACAATGAAATAATGTGATACCAATACATGTTCACCTTCAAAGCCAACAGGAACCACAAAGGAAATTAACATGGCATAAATCTATCTTCAAAAGTACTCTAAAATCATATATAGTTTCAAAATTTCTAATACGGTATGCCAAGCATTTGGTTAAAGATAAAGTCCATCGTTATCTTCAAGAAGGACGTTACTACGCATTAAGCAATCCCTGAAAACAGCCTGACCTTAATTTTTAGGCTTTAAAATCCGATGCCGAGGTCTTCCCGAGCCACTCAGTACACACACAGATCTGGGAACTTCATCTCATAGACTGGGACAGACTGGTATTGGGCATGCCCAGAAGTGACGGTCAGTGTCCCTGACGGACTGGGAGGAGGACTGTAAAAGGAGAACGAGGCATTGTCAACAGGTGTTTTCAGAGCCGCTCACATCACAAAGCTGTCTAACTGCTACCTGCCGACAGTGATGGATGAGACGTGCTGCTGGACGGCTGCACGGAGAACAGGTCACGGTGGTATCGGCTGGTTTTTAAGTCTAAACCAGATTATTTTCCTTTGAATATATATATATATAATTTTTATAATGGGATTGAAATATACCCATTCTTGTAAGCTTGCTCTGTTTCACTAGTAAAAACTTTTTCATGCATACATATATTATTCTTTTTTGATGACAGTATGGTATTTCATCATATGAATATATCATAATTAAATTCAGTGGATAAATGCAGGACCATTTCCATTTTTCATTATTATAAATAATGCTCACAGGTCTATTCTTATACATATATAACTTTATCCTGTCTCTTTGGTTTATAGTTTTATCAGTAGAATTTCTAGATCAAAGTGTACTCACAATTTTGACTTTGGTACATATTGCCAGAATAGTAGTAATTTATATTTTCAACATTTAAGTGAACCTATTCTCTAATACCATTATAAATCTTGGGTATAGTCAATCGTTTTGTTGTTTAAATCTTTGCCAATCTGACAAGCAAAAGGGAATTCATCCTTACTCTTATTTTCAATTTTTGGGTTACCACTAATGCTAAGTATCTTTGTAGACTTAGTACTGACTTTATGTTTCTTTGAAAACGAATTGCATATTTGAGTCCATTGCCTATATTTCTACTTGGATGTTTTTTTCTTACAAATTTGGGAAACTAATCTTTTGTCATATAATAGAAATGTTTTTCCACAATTCATTATTTAATTATCAACCTTGTACTTTTTTTTTTTTTAAACAAATGCTTATAAACCTTATAAAGATTCAATTATTTTCTTATAATTTCTAGTTTTTGTGTTATGCTAAGGGAAACTTTCCCCAGACCAAGATTACAAAAAACATTCCTGTATAAATTCTAGTATTTTTATGTATTTTTCTAAATAGAGTTAAAATTTTCCATTTTGGTAAAAGTAAGAGGAGACTCCTCTCCCGTCCCTATTGCTGGTCAACATTCTTTAGTAAATAAGAGTTATTAAACATTTGTTCTTTTCCCCCAAAATCTGAAATCTCCTCTCTCCCACTTACCTGTACCCAAGTCCAATGTGCTGTAAATGTCAAACACTTGTCATGTTTTCCTACCTGGCGGAGCAAATGCTCCCCCGTTTTTTTCTCCCACAGCATTTTCCTGACTGCTTTATATGTAGATTCTTCCACACTGTCTATAGCATCACTTGTTCGTATATAAAAAATATAACTGTGAAGAGTTTGACTAAAACTGTAGATTAATCTGCAGAGAAGCGATGTGTTTAAGATATTAACTTCCTATCTACTAAGAAGGTCTGAGTTTCCATGTATTTAAGTATTCTTATGCATATTTCAGTTATAGTATATGTCATATAAAGTTCTTTAGTTTTAGTATTTGTTATAATGTAATTCATATAGTAATGAATTTCCATTAATTATGTACAAATATAATTAACTGTAAATTGCTCTCGATTAAGTTATTCAGCTGGTTGTCTTATATTTTCCTGATATATTATTCTATTTTTGGCAACTAATAATTATTTACCAATTACTGTTCCAGTATTTATAACATCCCTTTATTTTTTTATTGAGGGATAATTTTCATAGAGTGAAATGCACAGATATTAAGTGTAATATATGACAAGAACTGACAAATACATAAACTCATATAAATCATACCCCAATAAAAGTACTCAACACTTTCTTCATTCAAAAAAAAGTTCTTTGTATCCCTAACCAGCCATCTCTCCCTACCCCCACGCCCCACACACACATGCCCACACCCAGCAACTCTGTTCCGGTCTCTATCACAAAGTTCACCATGGCCTGTTCTCGAATTTCACACGAATGGTCTGTGCAGCCTATAGGAACGGTCCATACAAGCTCTACTTACTCCTTTATGTCTAATTTCTTTTTCTCAATATGTTTCTTTTAGATTTACCCCTAAAATGTGTTCCTTTTTATTGCTGAATAGTATTTCACTATTGTAAGAATATCGCTATTGGTCTACTGTCTATCATTCTGTTCATGAGCATTCAGTAATGTAAGAAAAGGTGCTAAAGCATCATGTACATGTCTTTTTGTAAATGTTAAGTTTTCCTTTCTCTGGGTAAATATTGACAAATGAGATTACAGGATCAAGAGCAGGTACATGTTTAACTTTAACCGCTAAAGTTTCACAAAGAGTTTGAGCCACTGTGTACTCCCGTGAGCTATGAATGAGAGTTCCTCTATAAAGTCCAATACAACACCTAGCCCACCCAATAAAATTTTTTCTTTCAGGTATTCTCTCATTCGGTTCTTGATTTACAATTTGGTTCTTTTTCAGAGTTTCCGTTTCTCTCCTAAAATATGTGTATCTTTTCCTTTAAATCTGTGTGTGTGTGTGTGTGTGTGTGTGTGTATGCGTGTGCGTGTGCGTTAAGGACCTTGTCTGCTAATTTCAATAGCTGGATTATCTGTAGGATTGCTTATTCTTAGTGTATTCTGCTTCTTCGCGCTTCATTTATTTGTTTGTTCCTTCCTGGCGGAGCAAATGCTCCCCCGTTTTTTTCTCCCACAGCATTTTCCTGACTGCTTTATATGTAGATTCTTCCACACTGTCTATAGCATCACTTGTTCGTATATAAAAAATATAACTGTGAAGAGTTTGACTAAAACTGTAGATTAATCTGCAGAGAAGCGATGTGTTTAAGATATTAACTTCCTATCTACTAAGAAGGTCTGAGTTTCCATGTATTTAAGTATTCTTATGCATATTTCAGTTATAGTATATGTCATATAAAGTTCTTTAGTTTTAGTATTTGTTATAATGTAATTCATATAGTAATGAATTTCCATTAATTATGTACAAATATAATTAACTGTAAATTGCTCTCGATTAAGTTATTCAGCTGGTTGTCTTATATTTTCCTGATATATTATTCTATTTTTGGCAACTAATAATTATTTACCAATTACTGTTCCAGTATTTATAACATCCCTTTATTTTTTTATTGAGGGATAATTTTCATAGAGTGAAATGTACAGATATTAAGTGTAATATATGACAAGAACTGACAAATACATAAACTCATATAAATCATACCCCAATAAAAGTACTCAACACTTTCTTCATTCAAAAAAAAGTTCTTTGTATCCCTAACCAGCCATCTCTCCCTACCCCCACGCCCCACACACACATGCCCACACCCAGCAACTCTGTTCCGGTCTCTATCACAAAGTTCACCATGGCCTGTTCTCGAATTTCACACGAATGGTCTGTGCAGCCTATAGGAACGGTCCATACAAGCTCTACTTACTCCTTTATGTCTAATTTCTTTTTCTCAATATGTTTCTTTTAGATTTACCCCTAAAATGTGTTCCTTTTTATTGCTGAATAGTATTTCACTATTGTAAGAATATCGCTATTGGTCTACTGTCTATCATTCTGTTCATGAGCATTCAGTAATGTAAGAAAAGGTGCTAAAGCATCATGTACATGTCTTTTTGTAAATGTTAAGTTTTCCTTTCTCTGGGTAAATATTGACAAATGAGATTACAGGATCAAGAGCAGGTACATGTTTAACTTTAACCGCTAAAGTTTCACAAAGAGTTTGAGCCATTGTGTACTCCCGTGAGCTATGAATGAGAGTTCCTCTATAAAGTCCAATACAACACCTAGCCCACCCAATAAAATTTTTTCTTTCAGGTATTCTCTCATTCGGTTCTTGATTTACAATTTGGTTCTTTTTCAGAGTTTCCGTTTCTCTCCTAAAATATGTGTATCTTTTCCTTTAAATCTGTGTGTGTGTGTGTGTGTGCGTGTGTGTATGCGTGTGCGTGTGCGTTAAGGACCTTGTCTGCTAATTTCAATAGCTGGATTATCTGTAGGATTGCTTATTCTTAGTGTATTCTGCTTCTTCGCGCTTCATTTATTTGTTTGTTTGTTTATTTATTTTTTGTACTAGGATCAAAGTAAATGCAAGAACAATGGAGACTGAAATATAAGACCGTTTTGTTTCTTACAAATTCCTTCCTCTGTCCAGAGTTACAGTGAGGCAAATAACAAGAAGGAATATACCAAACAAGAATGGAAAACTCTGAAGATGCACTAAGAAGTCTGTTTGATTTCTCTGTATCACGTAAGCTATCCAGAACTACTTCCTAACTAGGTGACCTTCATAAGTCACCTAACTTCTATGTGCCTCTGTTTCTACATTTCTAAAGTAAAAATAATCACTACCTATTTTTTATGTCTTTTGTAAATATTGCATGAAATAACGCTCTTAGCACAGTACCTAAAACACCGTAAGAGTTCACTAAATGTTAACTATTAGAAGTGTTCAACAAATGCTATTAGTAGTAGTTGCAGTACCAACAACACAGAATTAGTCATAACACTTATTCTAAAATATTAAATCTACCCAGTTATGACAGATTATATGTACCATGATGGTCCCTAGCAACATTCCTTTTAAGAACAAGGGTTATGATTTTGAATTTGACTTTTCCACTCACTAGCTGGATGACCTTCAGCAAGTTACTTTGCTTCTCTAAGCCTCAGTGTCTTTACCTGGAAAATGAAAAAAATAGTATCTACCTCACTTTCAGGGCTATGGTGATGGTTAGCAAATATAATAGATTTAAACCAGCCGCATGAGATCAAGCACACAGCAGACATGTACTATGACGACTAACAGGCATCGAGGAAGTAAATGCTCACAGCCAACGATATCTTCTCAATTTAAGGTATGTCACATATTGCGTACTTTGGTGCAATTCTCTGTTCTGAATTGTGGAAAGAAGTGACTTTTACCTTACTGGGGGGTGGCAGGAATGGTGGGCAAATGCCTAGAATAAGATGTGATACTGATGAAAAACATGCCTTGCACACAAAGGCAAAAGAAAGGCTATAGAATGAAAAAGAAAATGGACAGGAGCATGCACCCGCCTCTTCTATTCATAGGATGCTGGGGTTGAAGCAAAAGGGACCTTGTTAGTCAAGTTAAAAATAAAAAGATAAAGCTGATATAGGAAAAAACTCCAGAAGCACAGCTTCTATCTAAGACTCCTGTACTGAGCCGCCTCACACAAAGGCCAGCTCCACACCAGTCGACATAAGAACAGGCGGAGGTGCCTTCCACAGATGGAACCTGGGCTCTGACCTTGTCACATGCTCCATTACTTAATAAGCAATAAATACAGAATACGGAAGTATGTGAGACACCATACATTTCAGAGCATAAAATGAATTATAACGGGACTCAAATGAGTATGACTTAGGAAAGCTCAAGGAAAGTTTAATAATTCAAGTGAGCCACCCGCATAGTAGAACTGTTACTGCTCTGGAAAGAGCTATGAGGCTGAACCATAACAAACTAGTTTTTGCAAGTCGAATTGGTTAAATATGAGAAATCATCTGGTTAAACGTATCATTAGATTGCGAAGCTTCCAAGTTACCCGAGGTCCTAGTAGGACCACTCTGAAGACACCTAGACAAGAAAGGGTAACAGACTCTACCCAGGGAACAGGGTGACAACTGAGTGACAACTAAGTGATAACTAAGGCACCTGCACGATCTTGTGTTTATCCCAAATGAAAAGCACAATTACGTATGATCAGACACAAATGTATAGGGGTCTAATAGTCTCTACTTTGTTGTTTTACTGCTGTTGGAGTAACAAACCCTTACCGGATGGTGAGTTCCAGTATTTGAGCAAGTCTATCATGGAGCAGATTTGCCTACAAAGGAGAAAAAAAATGTTAAGAATGGATTTATTTTCCAAAAACCCATATATAATAATACAAATGCCACTTAAAGGACAAAGCATACCTGTAACTATTAAGCTGATAGTAAAGAATGTTTTAGTGTTTTGGTTGTACCTGTAATTGGAATTTAATGTGAAGCTTCTCTTTTATTCCTTTCCTAGTCTCAGTGGTAAAAACAAACTGATAGACACACAAAACAAAATACAGCAAAATTGCTGAAAACCACTGCGAAAAAATTACCAAAGCAACAACCATCATTAACATGTAGTTTGGGATATGCCATTTAAATCGGTTTATATTGCACAAAGAAATTATTTGTACCATCAAAGCTTTCAGTCCCTACCTGATGCATTACGCGTATTCTGCTCATCTGCCTAAAGCTTAGAACCTACCAACCAATTACCAAGATTTTCACAAAAATCACACCCCCCGCCACAACCTTCACCATCTGCTCACTCACTTTGGATTCACACTGTGCTGCGATTTCTTCAAAAGGTGCTTTCTGGAATTTCTCTATCACGAGACGCCTCTTTTCCTTTTCCTGTTCTTCCATTCCACTGGTATCTATATGTAAATGTTTATAAAGACCCATTAAAAGGAATATAGAATTTCATAGAACCTTGACAATGACCATAAGAGCAAATGATCTCTAAACGAAAAATGATGGTAATTGACAGAACTACATTATTTTTATTAGTTTCAAGTATACAGTACATTGGTTAGACATTTATATAGTTTATCAAACGATCCCCCTGATTGCTCTTTCTCCCCTCTGGCTCTCCACCTAGCCATTACATCACTGCTGACTGCATGCCCTACGCCGTGCTCCCCATCCCCGTGACCATCAATCAACTACTAACTTGTACTTCTTTAACCCTTCACCCCATTCTCCCAGCCCTGCAACGTCCCTCCCTTCAGGCCGTCACCAGACTGTCCTCTATATTTGTGAGCCTGTTTTTAATTAGTTTGTTCTTTTTGTTCCTTAGATTCCACATATAAGGGAAATCACATGGTATTTATCTTTTCTGTCTGACTTATTTTACTCCGAATAACAACCTCTAGGTCCATCCATGTCGTTGCAAATGGTAGGATTTCATTTTTCTAATGGCCGAGTGATATTCCATTGTATATATGAACCGTAACTTCTTTATCTGGTCGTCTGTTGATGGGCATTTAGGCTGCTTCCATATCTTGGCTATTGTGAACAGTGCTGCCATGAACATAGGGGTACACAGATCTTTACGAATTATTGTTTCCTTTGACATTATGGCAGGTTAACAAAGTGAAAGAATTTATGTCCTTCTGAAACTATAATACAAAGTCATGATCGTCTCTCTGTTGTTCACCAGACCAGTGTCACAGGTTCAGATGTGCCAGGGGCCAGGCAGGAAAGAGATATTTTTAAATCTGGTCAGGTAAAAGCAGGAGGAAATAAGCTACTTGGGCAAGACAAGTGTATATCCCTGGTCTTAAGTGCTCAGATTCAATTTAAAGAAACAATGTTTCCACCTGAACTTGGCCCGCAGGCAGCAGGTTCGCTTTCCGCACTAGCCCAGTAGTTCTCTGACTTTCTGGTTTTAAGATTCCTTTACATTTTTAAAAAATATTGACAAAATCAAATAGCTTTTTAGAACGGTCTTATATCTACTGATATTTTCCATATTAGCATATAAAACGGAGAAACTTTAAAGATATTAACTCGTTTAAAAATAACACGTTTAATGAAAAAATAACCATATTTTCCAAAATAAACCAAATCAGTGAAGATAGTGGCATTGTTTGATATATCTGCAAATCTCATTAATGTATAGCTTAATTGCAGGCAGCTGGATTCTGTCTGCAAATGGATTCGATCCTGTCCGCAATGTTATTTTGGTTGTAGAATATGAAGAAAACCCCGCCCTACACATAGATAGTGGTGAAAAAAGAGTTTTAAAAACGTTTGCCCAGAATTATGATACTCCTTCTTCGACACCACAGCAAAACTCGACAAGGAGTGGTTTCTTAAATGTTAGTTACAACAGAATTTAAAACTTATTAATAAACTTTTGTCATTGGTTACGTTAAAATCTATTGATCTATTTTATATTTTGCTCGAGCACGATTTTGTAACATCATGCAATGGTCATTTAGAATTATCGGTCCACTGACATATAGATCCTCTAAATGTAGACATATTTCTATGTCTATAAAATAATATAAAAAAATAACATAAAAAACTATAAAATAATTTTTAAAAGCCACATTTGTTAGTTATTACCACTGATCTCATTAGAAAAGTCTTTAAATACTGGAGGGCTGTCAAACTCACAGTGGCAGACTGTTTCAAGATTCTGATTTTGTTCAAAAGTGCTAATTTTGTCACTGGGAGCAAATACGGTTGGTGTCTTTTGTTTTGTTTTTCTTTCTCTTGAAGTGACAGACTCACTTCCTTTATTTTCCAGAAAACGTCTGCCAAATACTACAGGTTTCCTCTCAGTCTTTTCTCAAAGTAAAAATGGCATTTCTTGTAAAAAATAACTAGCTCGGCTTGCAAATCAAGGCAATCAAAAAAGTGTTTATGTTTTCTCCCCAAAGGCATGCACTCGTAGGCTGAGATTTAATGGAACCAATAAATTATACCAATTAACCAAGGGCATTCTTAAGTAATCTTGTTTTAAAAATAACTGTAGGTATATGGTGCTAAAGAATACGATGACCATTAGTACAGTCTGATGCCACTGCCTTCATTAACGTTAATCAAAAAGGCTTACGGTGCTTTAATATTATGATAGAAATACTTTCTGACCTGTTGGATCCCTTCTGAGAGTCTCCTTCAGGCCCTCCAGAACCCCAGGACAGACTGTGAGAACCACTGCCCTAGGCTGCAAATTCCTCAACACGTTTTACTAATCTTTAAACCTCTCCAAGTATCTTGCACATAATGGGTGTTCGAAAATTGCTTACTAAATTCAATTAATTTTATTTTGGCAAATTTGCTATTAAGTAACAGTGAGGAAAAAAAAATCCTCTAATGGATTAAGCCAAAAGGGGTCAAATTTTATTTCATGTATGATGGATTCTGGAGCACTTTACTGCCCTTGAAAATAATTTTCTTACTGTAATATCTCTAAAAAAATGAAAGCCAATTTCTACCCTATATTGCTTTACCAATTAGAAAATGAATTGGGATCAAGGGTCATTAGTATAGTAGTAATTAATATTAATACATAATTGAAAGAACCATTTTAAAATAAAAAAAGAAGCTAATTACATAAGATAAAATTTATTTCCGTAAAGGCCAAAGGAGAAAAAAAATCAGAGTAATATTTTATACAAAGATAAGTGAAGACTACAGAGTCAGACCAACTTGGGTATGAAATCTGGCTCCAGCATCTACTAGCCATGTGATCTCAGGAGAATTTGTTCATTTTTCTGCCTCAACATTTTCATTGATAAAATAGCAGGGATTAACGTGATACCCAATCATGCCTGCGGACAATCTCAGCCAGCTCCTTTCTCTAACTCTACTACAAACACACTTCTAATTATAATATTATATGCCTGTCAAAAAAAATCACTCAATTTACTTTGCTCAGAATTTCTCACAATTTTCACCTCTACATCTCCTACGAAAGGAAATACATTGACTGTGTCTTATAAGTTCATGAAGCCTACATGCTACCCACCAAATAAGAATGGCATTAAAATACACTGTGATATGCCTGCATAACTCTAGAAAAGTCTATCTATACAAAGGAAAAGAAATATCTGTGACAAGACAGGACAACTGTAAAAGCCTAAAGAAAGTAGCTAAATAAATCAATACATATTTATATAGAAATCAACAGTAAATATGTATTTCTTGCCATGCTGCCTGTATTTATTTATGTGGCATCTAAACAAGTACTAAGATAAAGATAAGTTAGCAAAATATGAAGAGAGTTAACAAATACAAAAATCTCACCAATTGCTTTCTTTAATGCTTCAAAGGTGATTTCTTCAGTGTTACTAACCTAAAAAAAGTGATTTTAAGTAAAATAGTTAAGAAAGGTCAATATGAACAATACTTTCACCTAGTTACAAGTCAACTAAAAACTTTTACAAATTCTTTCTTCTTTGTGTTGGTTTGATTTATGATTGTACGCCACAGTAACAAATAATGTCTACTTTTTCACTGGCTGTGACAATGGCCTACTGCAGTGGTTCCCAAACGAGTCTACGGGTTAAGTTCAGGCTGGCAGAATCAGCATCCCCTAGGCAACCCAACCACCACCGAATTACAGATCTCAACCTCCAGTCATGTGATGTGCAGTAAGATTTGAGTCCCACTCACTGAACTATGCTTCACAGGTCAACAATGCTTGGAAATATTCAAGGCAGAGATTATACATAAATAAAGTTTCAGCCATGTGACAAATGCAAACTAGTACTCTATGGCCTCTCTAATTCTAGTACCACATACAGTTTACAAATCGAAAATTTTGAAATAATCTAAAACTTTAAATGGTTTAAAAGAATCGCTACTTTGGAAACTGTCCAATGAGTACAGTTAATCGACAGCTTAAAACAATCACATTCTGGAACATCTGAGGTCAGCCGCCAGTCTTATTCTCAGAAATACGCTTTCCCTTGGGGTTTTCAGATCTCTCTCTTGCTTTGAGATTTGTAAAAAGTATGAAATTAACTGTATTATGATAAAAGAAAAAAAAAGTCAGTCATACTTTTTTTGGCACCAGCACATTTGCACGAGGAATAATATATCCAGTTACTATAGTATCTCTGAATAAAAATTAATAAACGATGCACGAGTACTTGCCTGGGGCTCTGGTCATCCCTAATTTTAGCTCATGAGCTTCTTTTGCTAAGTCTAAGGCGGCAAGACTAATGAAAGCAAAAGACTTCATGCTCTGCACCTTGGCTTCTCTGTAACAGAAAGGCTTTAGCTGGAAACCAAGCAGCAAGAGTTCCACTCCCTCAGTTTTTTACTGAGGGTTCATAGTTCTAGTTGAAGTCAGATTAAACTTGGGAATCTTCAGTTGCTTTGTTCTAGATATTTGGAGCAGATATATAAGATTAGGCTCTGGCTGGTCATTTATTTGTACCTAGAAACAAACTAGTACTTCAATGAAAAAATCCACTGTTGTTTTTACAACTGGTTAAGAACTTTTAGACTTTTGAGAAACAACCATAGTACAGGAGAAAGAACAGTGGAGAAGACAGAAGGCCAGTATTCTTGTTACATATACTTTTTACTTATTACCTGTTCGATCTGGATAAGTGAAAAGCTAAGTACTCTACCTAATACTCTTCTTCTCCATTGGTTCTCGTTCTCCTTAATTCAGATCACTGATTGTCTCCTGGCATCAGAACCACCAGGTCATTCTGCCCCGTCCTTTTGTTTTACTCTCCTTTCTCTAAATCACTTTAAGTTCTCAGAATGGGGAACTCCCACTCTCCCGTCCCTGCTCCCCATCCCCAGCCGGGCTACTCCAGGTTCTCAGTACCCAGGCGCAGGCTATTACGAAGATCTCCTAGGTGACCTCTCGACCTCCAGTCTCTCTGTTCTAATTTAGCCCAGTCACACTTCTGACATTCATGTTCTGAAGGCTCAGCTCTGATAATGACATTACCCCAATTGGAGAGTTTCCCTACTTCCTACCACATTACACACGGAGCCCTCGGGCTGGTGACAAAACCTTCCATAATTTGGTTTTACTCTCATTTCCCAAGATTCCCTTTTGTCAATTCAATTTTTTTAAAGACCATTGCTTTATACTAGTGTTTAATGATTCATATTTTTCATACAATGTTGCTGCTAAATGCAAAGCCCCCTACTTCATTCGGTGCTCGACTGGACCACAATCAGTCCCAACTCTACAGGAAACACCGGCTGTGCTAGAGTTATGGAGAAAGGGCGCAGAGGCACCAGCTGAGAGAGGTCTCGACACTCTCTGCCTTCTGCGTGATCTACAGTTCTAGCCTAGACTCCACAACACACTTGGGCTTGCATGAAATCTGCTATTCATCTTTTCCCAATCAGACTAGCTGCTATGTCACTTCCGACGATATCTTAGCAATTCTACAGCACCTAGCGCAGCAGGTTCTGACTAATACTGGTTTGATGCCAGAATTATTGTTTTGTTAGCACACATGCAGGTTTCTTCAGTCATGCTTGGGAAAAAGGCAGGGATACATATGTATGAAACGAAGGTCTATTATTTGTCCCAGAATAAACAACAATCCTTTTCAGCCAAACAGTGACTTAATTTTGTACAGAGAAAAATGTAATATGTATTCGAATTTGAATATACATAAACTGCCATCCATTTCCCCACATAATTCAGCATGATTGTCTCGTGCAGGTCCGCCTGCACAGCGGTCACGCCCAGGATGCTCCGAGAGCCCCCGAGGTCGGGAATCACACCTACAGAGCCTGACTCCAGGAACCAAGCAGACAGTTCTATCTCAGGAAGCAGAGAAGCCTCTACTCCATTTTAGCTATTTATCTTCTTGAACCCCTTAATTTAATCAGGTATCTTTATGTGTACATAGGGCGATTTTTAGAAAAAGTTCACTAAGTGATTCACAGTGGGATAAGGTATGAATTACGAATGTTGGAACTGACATACCTCAAGTGGACCAGGCATTTCAGTAAACTATAGTAACGATTTGATTTGTAATCAAGGAAAACACAAGTTTGCTATATCTCCATCTAAACAATATTCTGGCTTTTTTTTTTTTTTAAGTTATAAGCTCTGAACGCAGATATCAGATTTATCTGAAGACTAACTGGGATCATGTATATAAAATTTCAATTAATTTTGATCAACGTTACACGAGTATTGTTTTTTAAATGAACAATTTTCTTATCTGACTCCTTGTTAGCTAATATACTTAAACACAGTTTGATATTTTGTTATACCATTAACTGGTGAACACCTAACTGACACGAATTCCTCCTGTCCATACCATGAAATCAATCAGTTCCAGCCTAGAAGGTAATATTATTCTGTCTTCCGGTACCTGAACAATCACCCCTAATAAGCAAAATCAGATTCCACAACGATAAGTGGGTTTGGAACTCCGACGTGCTCAAGGAAATCTTATACTGAACTGTTTATTTAAATTTTCAAATGCTCAGTGTGAGCCATCTCTGACTCAGGACTTTATTTATGGCAAAGAGAAAAACAACGAGATCTTTAGCAAGTTAACAAATGTATTAATGGACTTTTAATGTAAAGTTCATGTTTAAGAATCTTCCTCCTATATTGTCTTTATGCAAATGTCTTTTCAATTCATTTTATCAAAATAGATTGATTGTCTGCAACAGTTTGAAGTGTTTTATATGTATTTTTAAAAGAAATAAAAATGATTAACAAAAGGAGAATGGAATAACACCAGTCAATAAAATACACTCCACTCTTGACAAAATAGTGTATAAACTTATTAGATTTCTTCCCTCAAAACATTAACAGTATCAAATTCACAATCATTACAAACTCCTTACTAGTAGGGAGTATAGAAATTCAAATGGATATGAAGAGGAGAATATTTGGAAGATGATTTTTCTTGAGTCTTAAATTAGTAAGAAACTTTAAACCAACCTTAACACCCTCAGTTTCAAAATAACCACTAACTGCCTCTTTACCCTTGATGCTCTGATGTTCATTTCTTAATAAAGTAGGTTAATTCTGCATAACAGGGGGCTGAATAGCACATAAGATGTGAGTGAGTCGGCTATGCCCTGGCCACCAAACAGTTTTAACTCTTGAAGATAAATTAATTGACAGGGATTGGGAGAGGGGAGGAGAGAGGAGGCTGAGAAAGCATAAATTCAGACAACTTCCTTCCCCTTTTCTTAGATGGATATTCTTTTAATTATTTATACTGTACCAAATGAGAAATAATGAAATACCTAGGAAGGCAAGCAATGAATAAACCACAAGGAGGAGGCTGACTTGACATGCTGGTATTTCGGCATTTTTACTTGACTTATCAAAAAATTCTCTGGTGATTTGTGTGGAATAAGTCCTAGAGAGTACTGGCTGCGTTTTCTTCCTATAACTCAGGAGGGTACACTCTTGTTCTCTATTGAAACAGGAGGAGAGCATTAAATCTACAATATTTCAAATAAGTCACAGTCCTTAAAGAGTACAAAGATCACTGATACCGCTTAACCTACTTTAAATGCATTATACTTACTATCTAAAATGATAAAAAAAAATTTCCCTCAGATGAAGTTTTGGAACTTTCTGAAAGTTGTGAGCATCTGCCTTCACATTAGAGTGTATAATTCCATTTAGACTCCTAATCCATGTTTCATAAATCTTTAATAGGATCTAGAGGGCCTCCTAATTTAATAACAGGCCTTATGTAACATTTCTTACTTACGAAAAATCTTCCGTTTCTGTTTTATGACTCCTTTTATTACACTGAATTACAATGTGAAATCTAATGTTAAATTTCTGTTTCTTTATAGATAGCTGAAATGAGTTTAGTAAAATAAATTATGAAGAAGTTCAAGACTAAATCAGATTAATTTCTACTAACAATTTTGTTGATTTGGTGATAATTCAGAGTTGCATTTGCTCCTATTTGAAAGCATAAAAGGGTAAAAAAATTCTTTTAAATTGATATCTCTCAAGACAGCATTCTACCACAAACTTTTGGCAACTTACCACATCATCGGAAGGGATGTTGCTGGGTAAAATATCCACCTGAATGGACACAGTGTCCACGATGCTCTTTCTCCTGGAAAGTCGATCTTCATCTAAAATAAAAAAATTTCTCATTATATGCTAGTTAGAAATGATACGTCATTTATAAACTACATATTTCGGATTTCAAAAAATTTCATAAAATTAAGACGCTGTCTTCTTTGCTCTTTTCCAATGTACAAAGCACTGTGTTCTCAGACTTTTAAACTTCATGAAGAGTCACTTCATAATCCGGCAACACTCTATCTTTCTAATCCCATTTTGCATATATTGTGATTTTATTCTCCTGAAGGAGTAAAGGATAAAGAACTTAAAGAAGGCCAGCATAAAGCAACCAGTTTCTCTCTTACTGACTACTCCTCTACTCCACAGTAGCTTCCCACGGTAGTAATTAATGCTGTCAATCGAATGTAGAAATTTACCCTCCTTCTGGACACATAGTAGGAGTGCAATGCCTGGCGTCTCGGTGGTTAGGAGGGACTAGGTAACTAGTTCTGGCCAATCAAGTATGAGCGGTGTTCCAGAGAGGGCCTGCTCCAGCAGTGTGGATTCCAGATATGGATGATACGCAGTTAGCTTGAGCACCAAATAAATCTTGAAAGTTTTCAACCACTGAGAGCCTGCGTTTGTTATCACAGTATAATTCAGCCAGTGCTTCTTAACCATGGCACTACTGACATCCTGGGCCAGGTAATTCCTGTTGTGGGGAGCTGCTGTGTGTTGTAGGATGTCTAGCAGCATCTCTAGCTTCTACCCATCAGATGCCAGTAGGCCTACTCCACCTCTCCTGCCCCAGTGGTGTCTCTGAAACTGACAAACGTTCCCTGGGATGGGCAAAATCACCGTCAGCTGAGAACCATCCCAACTGATGACAGACTGTTGTACAGTTTTCCCTATATGCCACCATCATGTCATAAGCTTCTTAAAACACTGACCACATCACTCTCCCAAGCAATTCTACCCACTGTTGGATTAAAAAAGCACTCTGGGTTCCCTAGCTAGATCTTACCAGCATAACTTCGACAGCTCCCTAACTTATGTAGTGTCCGAGTCGAGTGTGCCCATCCCCCGATCTCCGAGCGTGCTGTGGCATCTCTGGCTTCTATGCGTTTCTACAAACAGAAGCCCCTACTGAAAACACTTTACTTACCTGCACTTCTTTATGTCCTCCCACTATAAAGATTCTTATCTTTCAAGGCCTAGCTGAATATTATATCGCTTCCTTAAAAATCTGAAATATTACTCCAATTATTTCCACTTATCCCACTTTCTTCTAGTGACAAAAATTTATTCTCAGTTATGACTGATCTTCCCTTATCACCATTCAATCATTATTACCTTTCGATCTTATCTCCCCAATCATACTAGAAATTTGGTGGCAGTGTGTGCTTTGCATCTGTCATACAGGAGTCACTGGGTTCTGCTCTATGACAGTTAGAGGGGCAGAACATACAAACGTAACTGTGACAAATTACTACACATTGTTTTGCCACAGTTTTCAGGCTGAAAATATTTTACCTCCTGCACTTGGCTATTATTGAGCTAATCTAAGAACTGTATTCTTTCTTTTTTTCTTCATGATCATATGCTTTGATGTAAAATGCCAAAAGTAATGACATTAATAGACCTGCTACAAAATAGTGTGTAGTCATCACTGCTGACTTGCCTTTCTCCTACAAACAGGCCAACTTTGAAGGTCTCGCCAAAACTCAACACGAGGAATAAATAATTATCTGTTTCACAAAGAACATCATAAAAGAATTTCTAGGCTAATACACAAAGGGTTGCAGAGAAGAGTCAAACTGAAGACTAAGGTAAAAATAAAAAGGAAAAGGAAGGTACAGGACAGGAAAGAGATCACAGTGGCAAAAATCAGTGAGAACAGAAGGGAGGTATAGAGGAGAGAGTGAAGATTTGAGATTTTAAAATGAAATTTAATGGGAAACTCTAACATTATATTCTTAGAACTTTTTTTTCTTTTGACCTATATAATCACCCGCTTACAGGTGACCACACAGAGGCCGAGGTACGGCTATAATCAGGTATCTTGCCCATCTACACAAATGTAGCTTCTGAAGTAGAGCTTATGGAAGATGATGCCCCTGTTCCCATGGGCCGTCGACATCTGTTCCCGGCCTGCTTTACAAAGTCCACTGAAATGCAGCATCACTGTAGCCTCTGTGGGCTACACTGTCCCACTGGCTCTAGTGAACTGCCCTGTCACCATCTGTCTGA